TTTCAGGGAACTGGCCTTTCGACCGGATTCACTCTAATTGGTATTGTTACTCGACAATGGTCAATGCAAAAGCAGAGCGCTTTCTTCATCGCATTTCTCACATGCTTTTTCCAGGTGAGAAGCTGGACTGTCAAAGGAGGTAGTGCACAGCAGTCCTGCTCGGATCCCATAGCCTTATTTGATAGTTTTTCCTGCTCACAGGAAGTCCATCACCGAAGATTATACATGAACTGGCGTTGCTGCGGTTGAGGGTAAGCGTGGAGGGGGAGGAGGGAGTGGGCAACGGCTGCGCTGTGATGAGATCGCTACCCACCCTAAGGAGGCGCTGATTTCGGACAGCAAAGACGAGTTTGAAGCCTGTGACGACGCACAGCAGAGGATCTCACAGCTTCCAACTGAAGCGGGGCCATTTTCTAAACATCCCGTCGAGGGAAGATACCCCCAGTACACCTCCACTCGCGGCCATCATCTCCATCAATGCCCTCGTCTCTCTGCATCTGCCTCTCTACTCTAGCTACTCCCAAACTCTCCGGGATCCCCCTCCCCCTTGCCCTCCCAACGAAATGCGCTGCGGGAGAGGGGAGAGCTACACTCAGCGCCGCACTATATTCGTTCAGAGCGTGCGCTAGAAGTACATGGATGCAAAGCGACGAAGGCAGAAAGATGAGGACATCAGCAGATTTGATGGCAGAGAGTGAAGACACAAGGGGAACGTATAGCATGCGGCCCCAGTGGCGTATACTTCCGAGTCGCGGCTTCGCGCCAGAAATGCAGAGCGTTTTCAATCTAGCAAGAATAAACAGGCATAGAGAGAGCTGGACAACTTGTGAGACGAAGACGCAGAAAGAGTCGACGCGCCGAAACACTGCTACGTTGAGTGGATTGGGTAATGGTGCGAATGTAGCGCAGTCGCTATTACTGTAGTCAGTCGCCGGCGCGCCAGCGGGGCATGGGCTTTGGCTCGAGGCTAGTTGTTGATCGGTCGCTGTGGCTTTGGGCGTTCAGTGGGCAGTGAGAAAGGGTTGGCGCCGCGACAAACACCACCCGCTGCTGACACGCCACGACTGACTCCAGCGATAACAACAGTACCCGATTTGCAACGCCTTTTTACCTCATCAGCCGCTACAGGGAAGTAACTCTTCACACCTTACAGCACACCCCCAATGGAATTGCACCATCGAGGGTGGGGTTCACAAGAATTCGCGATGTCTTTGATCGGTGCGTGATTTGTCGGCGAAATAGTGTTCATTCAGATTGGCCCAATATTCACAATGCCTGTAGCTGGTGCTTTATGCACGTCATCCCTTGGATGGTCATCTGTCTATTACTTACACGCCGTAATTACCTGTATTCTGTTTCTGCTGTTCCTCTATTTCTATAGGTGGGGATCTCTGCTGATCAATAAATCGATTACTGAATAATCTATCAGTTTTCAGAGAACAACCGCAAATACATGCGTTTGTATCTGCCAAAGAATTGGATCGTATCAAACGTAACAAAGGGGATACAAACGAGAAGGAGCCACTGCCCGTCAAGGTACGGTAACAATGTGCAACTCAATCCTATGATATCAATAAAGTCGACAGATATTTCCGAAGTTTGAAGAGGATCGGTAGCAAACCCGAGCTGTCTTGCAGCCAAATCGATAATTGATTTTCTGGTTGTATTTGATATTGTGCTGATTCAGGCTATTGTAACGTCAAACGCTATTATTGCCGTATGGATCTCAGCTATCGCTAATTTCATGGGCATCCAGGTCACTATGCAGTTCTCACCAATCTATCTTAACAAGGTAATCGATAGCAGTCGATATATCGACCTTTTTTTCTTGAAAGTGTTACATTCGATGATTCAGGTTATGGGTTTCCCAGTGGAACAAACTGGTCTGTTCAGCGCGATACCGCAGGTAACTTTTTTGGATTTTCTGTATTCCTAGTAGCATAGTAGTATACTATCAGGTTACAGGGAGAAAAAAAATGCATTTTTCAAACAAATTCTACCTCATTAGAATTCGCAAGGGATCATCGGAACCCCAGTCAACAAAGCCAAGTGGGGCCTACAATGTTCAGGTTCTGTAAGGGCTTTGGCGTCGCGACATCAGATTGGCACGGTCGCCGCCGCATCGATCTTGTGTATGCGCTTGTTCGGCGACGGGGGAGGGGCATTTTGCACTTTTGCTACTTCCCATCGACGTGTCGACCCATCTAGACAGCCTCTTCTCGAGTTGACAGGTTTTACCATGATGGCTTGACGAGCTTGCTCCAGCTTCACAAGAGTTCACAGGTTTCACCAGAGTGAGACTTGTAAACCGGAACTAGCGAAGCAACGAAGGTGCAAAATGCTCCCTCCCGTCTCCGAACTGCGCACGTGGTATTCCACTAACAACACTTTCTGGCACGTTGCACTATTGAAGTCCAACATAATAGAAAAATAGACCGAATGGCGCTGAAACAAGGCTAGCAACATTAAGCAGAACAGAAAACTGAACTCTTCCCTTTTAGATTGTGACATTCGCGTTGAAGATGTTCGCCGGCGTTCTAGCCGATAAGGCCACATGTTGCCGACCGGTCACTTCTGTCAAGATCTTCAATCTTCTGGCCATTGGAGGCATGGGAATCGCGTTCTTCATACTTGCCGTCATACCAACGTTAGTTTTTAAAAATGTCAACAGTGTTTTCGCTGGGGCCTGTCATGCGGTTGAGTTCGCCACGGCGCCAGCCCGTTCACAATCAATTCTGCAAGCTAGGAAGCGACAACAGTAAATGGGAAACGGGCTGGTATCCCGCCAAACCCAGTGCGCCCAGCTGCGAGGGTTGTTTTAGGTTGGAGACATGGTGCGGTAAATCAACCGCACCATGGGGTCTTAATGTCTGGCAGAAAGCGAAGCCTCATGTCATAGTAGCCATAAATGAAATCTTCCATCGGAACGGGCGTTTTCAAGGGGAACCGAAAAGATCCTACTGGTCAGAAGGAAAGTTCCCACCGTAGGGCGTGGTCACCACCTTAGCCGCGTCGACCCTTGGCTGCTGTGGTACACGCCATGTAGTCTAATCCAACGGTCGTTTGCGTAGGCGGAGAACTCGTTCGAAAGAGCCTTGCATTCTCGTCCACTGCTGAGGGACATTTCTGCTTCTTTTCGCATTTTTGTTTCCGCTTCACTCGCCCTCTATTTATTTCATTCCATATATTCTCTTCCATTCCAGACCATTTTTGTGTGCATTATGCCTTTGAATTGTCCTTTGAAGTTGCTCCTTGGCATCTTGTGGCTGGCTTATACCATACTTTATCAATCGATACTTACAATCAATACTTCAGGTCGATGCCCATATTTGCACTAGTGGTGCTCATCATTTGCACTTCTATAGTCGGCTTCAACTGTGGCGCATTCTTCCGTAGTTCGGCTATCGTTGCTGCGTGAGTGTTGCTTTCAGATACAAAATTGAACTTATCCGACGCAGGGATAGCGCAACTCCCTTACCAACTAAGAGCGACAGGTCCACCCAACACGTTAACGTCAAGAAAGACTTGCTTTGTCATGTCAATGACGTCACAGGACGTGTCATTAATGTGTTATGTGACGTCAGCGACACGGTATACTCGATACCGTTCGCAATTTGGCGGAGAGGGGGGGGGGGGTAGGGGTGGTGGTGTCAGGAAGCGTGAAATGAGTCGACCAGCGGCGTTTTCCACAACTGGTTGTTTGCTACCAGAGCCTGTCGGTACTGGTAGAATACGCAACCGCGACGCCTCGAAAGACCAGTTCAGCTATACTGGAGCACACAGCTGCTATCAGTGGAGTCTGTAGGAGCGTGTCAGCGGAGTATACGTTTGGCGCGGCGCCAGCCCGTTTCCATCTATCGTTACGGCTTAGAGCGTCCAATGAAGTGGTTCGAAAGAGGCTGATGTCGTGCAAAACTTACGCGCCGCTGACACGCCCCGACTGACTCCAGTGATTCGACAGCACATGTGCTAGATCAGCGCCTTTCACAATACATTTGAAAGCAGAGGTCGCAGTCTCCAATAGAAAAACTCAAAACAGAGTCCCGAGCAGTTTAGCTTCAAAGCATTTTGCACTTTCGCTAGTTTAAGTCGTCGATACCAGTCAAAAGTTTGTAGTTCGAGGAAGCTTGCTAACTTCTGAAAAGCAAGGAACACGACAATGAGGAGCAGCGAAGACGCAAAATGCCACCCCCCCCCCCCTCCAAACCGAACTGCGCCCAGAGCCCCAACCTCTAGGCAAGCTAGTGCGTAGACGTTAGTAACCTCATTGATTGAAGGGAGTTAAGAGGATTCCTTGTTTAGAGCTGAATTCAAAACAGGTCACGTGACAACTAGAACCTTTCGTGGTGGTCCTAGCGCGAAAGACCAGCGCGAAAGACCAGCGCGCAGAGAGGATTGAGACTGCCAAAACATCAAAAGGTGCAAAAAACACACGTGAGCCAGGGCGTGAGCCTTTCCAGGCGAAGGGAACTTCACGGCGAATGTAGAGGTGAGCACAGAGAAAAACAGATAAGCGACGCGATTGAAGGAATTGAATTTGAGTTGTCTGTGGACCTTCAAAACAATATGGGCGGGATACTGTTGTTGGAGGCCGTTCTTTTTCTAGACTTCGGCTATGTCACGGTGACCCCAGTTTTGCATTTTTTAGTCTTTCGAATGCCCTCCACGCTCAGTGCCCATAAGCCTTTGAGAATAAAATATTCAGGCAGCACAATCATTTCGTAATGGGTGTGAATTCGTTCCTCAACTGTCTGGCCGCTTTGCTAGCACCTGTTGTGGTAAACATTTTCGTCCGTAATGACACCTGGGACGAGTGGTGGTGGGTTTTTTGGTCTCGTAGAAATCGTCCAAATCTGAAAAAAATGGAAAAAATCTAAATCCTATTCTATTCAGGTATGTATGGATAGTGCACGGTATTGTAATGACTCTATGCAGTATCTACTTCATGTTCTTCGGTAAAGGTGAGCCAGCTGAGTGGACAAAACCCGGCTATGGGGCCAGGGTTGCACCATCAGCACCGGCGCCTTCTACACCACCCAGATCACACCCTCGTGATGGCCGATTTTCGATGCGCTTGAATGATAAGGTATGTTTTCACCTCTGTAGCAACCGGAGGGCAGATTGTCTTATGAGTCCTGGGCCAAACTCATTGAAGCTTTTACAGATTTCCGTCTCCGTACAGACCATTGGCTTGTCACGATGTGATACATGCCGTGGTCATCGTGGTGATAGCTCGTCATCGCCAGACGTCAGCGAACACAACAAGGATACGTCGCCAATCCTTCCGCCAAATGGGTGGAGTACACCCACGATCAAGGAAACTTTTGATTCCTTGGAAGACTACCTCGACTCTGAACCTCATCGACCACCTAGATCGAATGAACGAAAAGTCATCTTCCCATTGAATCCCGACAAAGAGAATTGATACACTGTGGGAGAGCCGGGTGTGTGCAATTGAATCGGGTGCAATTCGGCTTGGTAGGGGTACTTGATGGTACTCAGCTGAGATTGTACAGGCCACCTTATGGAGATCTGTGAATTCTTATGACCCTAAAGACTCATTCGCCCATATTTCGTAGCTTCGCAAGAATTTACAGGTCCCACTGAGGGAAGACCTGTTAATCAGCACGAACTCACAAAGAGAATTAACGAAAGTGCAAAGTACCCCCTCCAAGCCGAACAGCGTCTCAAATATCTTTTTATTAGATATCTCATTTTAGTACAATGTTGCTCAAAGGTCTGTACTGCACAAACATTAGATTCGCACAGTGATCTGAAAGCTTCTCAGAGTAAGCAGGGGCTATCCCTCTTGCACCTCTTGCCTGTAGGTCAACCGGGTATTTACCTCGCTTTTAGCACTCATCTTACTGGAACTGGGCCGAGACCACGTCTGAATCCTGGCAGCTACTGAAATATGTCCCTTCACCTAACGAACGGGTTGTCATTTTTGTTACCAACAGCTGCATGTCTGGAACCCTCAGTCGGTTCTCATCACCACAATCAATCACTTAAAACCCTTGGCTTTTATGACTTAAAGGCACATTCCGAGATCACTGGGTGCCTTCGCTTTGCCACGATGAGCAGGATGTGTGATAAGAGTACCCCTTTGATACTCAGAAGTGCCTTTCAAGACTGCTGGGGGCCTGTGACTTGAATCTAACCACGCCTTCCTTGGCCTTTCTCCACCCAGTCCGTATAGATGTCTACCCTCGCTGAAATCCACCGCGCCTCATTTGCGACGTTTTCAACGGGTTCTTCAGCTCTCCTCATTGCTTCCGACTCATTTGACAACTGCAAAACCACTGTCTATCTACTCATGATCTTAAACCACGGACTGTGCCGTTAACATGCAGTATTGCGGTTTTGAGCGATATTTCCGAAGCTCCTGCGCTTGCGGTCCTGACTTTTGACAGCAAACTACCTTATGCCTTGCACAGGACTGCTGATTCTAAAAATATACCTTTTGATGTGCTAATTCAAGGTTCTCAGTGGGCCGAATCACTTTCAAAAGAAACTAAAATGTACACTCCTTATATCATCTAAAAATTGCCAAGGATGATGGGAAACGTGCATTGCATCCGAAAGTTGCGTGTGCGAGTCACCGCGTAGTCGTCAAAAACGATGTTTCCTCACCTTCAGGGATTTTGTGGTTAGTCGGAGGGCGTGGTGGTTTACCGCATACCGTGACGCACCTTTAGGGTTGAGTTTCTTTTCCGACATTAACGC